AGTAAGTAAAAACTTAAGGAATCAAATGAAACCATCTGAAAAAAATAGAGTTTTAATAAACCCATCTGAAATTGGGTAATGCTTGTTTAGGCTTTAAGAGTTTTTCTTCCTCTTTTTGCAGTCATCGGAAAGTCGTATGATTACGGAATCGATATGTGGTCTGTGGGCTGCACTCTCTATGAACTATACACAGGAAAAATCCTTTTCCCTGGGAAGACAAATAACCACATGCTAAAACTTGCCATGGACCTGAAAGGAAAACTGCCTAATAAAGTAAGAATTCATCAGATATTAGGAATTAAAACAAAATGTATTAAAAAATAGACAAAATATTTTTTGATATTTACAGATGATCAGGAAGGGTCTGTTCAAGGACCAGCACTTTGACCAAAACTTGAACTTTTTGTATACAGAGGTCGATAAGGTCACTGAGAGGGTAAATGTTATATATTCCATTCACTTAAAAAAATGAAAATAGGGCTGCATGATTTGTGGGGGAAAATTATATAATTTTAATATTACTGATTTAAAAAAAAAAAGCTCCCGTTTTTCTGTGCTTATTTATTGGGCTGCACAATTTGGCCAAAAATTGTGATTTATATATCAACATGACAATTGGACATTTGTCTTTTGGCTTCACTATATAATAATAATAATAAATTAATAGTTATTACTAAATAAAAATATTAAACAATAAATATCACTATTGCAATTTCACTGTAAAATAAAAAATACTGTATTTAAGAAAATCGTGCAGCCCTAATTTTATAACTGAAAAATATCTGTATAAATTACTTCAGGCTAATTAAATCCATTTTTTTACCTTTCACTTTTTTCTCATTCTTCCCCTCTACACCTATGTCTCTTTCTCTGCAGGAAAAGATCACGGTCATGAGTACCATTAACCCAGCTAAGGACCTGTCGATGGACATGGTGGGTCGCCAGGTGCTACCAGAGGACCAGCGAAAGAAGGTTGTTCAGCTCAAAGATCTGTTGGACCAAATTCTGATGCTGGATCCTGCCAAGCGGATCACCATTAATCAGGCATTACAGCATCCTTTCATCCAGGAGAGGATATGATCAGCAGCGTACCTCAGAGATTAATGATGGTTTTGTATCTACAGATATGACTCAGACAACAAAAGACGTTTGTATATTTTATTGCCATGCTATTTTATTTTAGTCTCTAATTTGTAGTACATTTCAGAAGCAGGACACAATCAAGATTTACTTTATTTTATTATTATTAGATGACCTACAAGACATCCTGTAAGCTGTAAATCTTTCAGAAAACAAAAAATCTTTCAAGAAACTATATTGTTCGCATTGCATGCTTTATACACAGCTTCTTGCTAATAATAATTTCAAATATATTTGATATTATGCTCAATGTTCAGAATGTAAAAATATCCATTTGTGTGCTAAGTTCACAGACCTTATATTTGATGTAAAATTCTAGAATTTGATGTAAACTAAATATTACTCAACCACCAAGGACTGTTTAGAGTGTGACATAAGTAAGACCAGCATAAATGCTGTCTATATCCACCCTCCCTTAGGTGTGAGAGTGAGAACTCAACCTGGCGTGCAGGCCCATGGCATGCCCCTTGCCCTAGGTGTGTTTCTGCTGAATCTGAGGTCTTGGGTCCTGCTTGACCTGGTCTGCAGGGAAAGCCTCCTCTGTAAAGGCAGGTTGTACACCTCTATCGGTACACTGAAGGTAAGCTAATCCTTCCAAAACAAACAGCATCAACATTTTGCATTCTTTTCAAGCCCTTTCGGCTTCTCCTGCATGTTTACAGAATGTAATTTGGAGAAATGGACATGCATTGAAACCCTTTGTCACCCTTTTGCTCTGTACCAAAACCTAGTGAGGCATCATAGATATATTATATTATATTATATTTCAAATGTGTGGGGTCTTTAATTTTGTTATTTGTTAAGAAAAAAAGTAGTATTATTAATTATTATTACTATTTAAAATAACTGCTGTCTATTTTAATATATTTTAAAATGTAATTTATTCCTGTGATAGCAAAGCTGAATTTTCAGCAGCCATTACTCCAGTCTTTGCTGTCACATGATCCTTCAGAAATCATTCTAATATGCTGATTCAGTCCTTAAGAAACATTTATTATTATTTTCAGTGTTAAAAAATAATTGTGCTGCTTAATATTTTTTTTTAAGCATATGGAAACAATGACACCCTTTTTTTAGGATTCGTTGATGAATGGAGAGTTCAAAAGAACAGCATTTATTTGAAATATTATAAATGTCCTTGTCTTTAATGCAACTTTTCTGAATAAATGTACTTACTGACCCTATACGTTTGCGCAATACTGAAAATTATTATTAAAAAGTGTAAAATGAAAAACTATTTGACAAAAATTTTGTATGACTTTTTATATTTATTATGTTTCATTATTTTATTATGTTTAATAGAGTATTGCAGTCGTGAACCTACGTAGAGCATTCCAAAATGTTCACTTATGAGGGCGCTGCCTTAGTATGCAATAGGCAGTGAGGCAGCTTCACTAGATTTTGGAACAGAGCTTCTATTGTGGTGTTTCTCACAGAGACAAAACAGTCGGTATGAATGAAAAGACTGGCTATCACTTTCTCAAAAATGGAAGGAACCGGTTACGGTAGACATTGAGGGTAAGGGTGAATCCAAGTATTTTTAATGGACCAAGCACCTTCAGTGTACTGCCTCTGATAGACATACTTCACCTTTTTCAGAGTTGTCACACTTATGCGTCATATAGTTTTTGCATAATCTATTGAGTGTTTTTCAATATGCATGAGAATATGTTATATGTATGGCTTCCAATGCACTACTGTACAAACCCTCTGGTGTGCTTTTCACTATGCGTAGACTATTTAGATGTATTTTTTGTGACTGTTCTTGTGTTTGTGACAATGTTGTCTTTTGATACAGGGGTTTTCCTGCTCTGATCTATGAATCTGCTTGTTACAAGCGGTAATTGCTTCTTTATTCATATCTCAATTCCTTGTGTTCCAAATCTATACAACGGTCATAAAGTATGCTGGAAGAATTATCTGCCTGTTATTTTTGCAAAGCCTGTCCTGCATGATAATGGAATAATTTGAATTTACTGTAAATTCGCATTATTTGTTATCATTAAACAATATAAAAATAAAGCTGTTTTGTGGTGAAAAAAAAACATGAATTTAAACTTCCCTCAAGTTGTCCGTCTTTCAAGAATTTCATGCAAGTTAATCATAACACTGTAAGAACATTATTCAGCATTTTAGGAAGCTTATGGTGGGTTTTGTTTCATCAAAACTAACTGCTGTTTGTGCTGTTTCTCCCACTGTTTCTTTGTGTTCGAGTATATTCTCTGGCCAATGGAGACATGTCTGTCCATCATCCTCCTGCCTGCCTCTGCTTTCAAAAGGATGAGACCTCTTCAAGGCCCTTTATCCAGGTCACTCCTAAAGGCATGTTTAGATCCAACACAAAGCAAAGCTCTGATTAGAAATGAACAGCCAGTTCAGAGGCTAATTCTCATAGGATTAATGTTCCCATCTCATATGTAGTATTAATTAATGTCTAATTTCTAATCCAGCTTTTTAGGGCTGTAGATATTAGATGACATTAATGAATTTGGCAGCAGACAATGGGTTTTCAGACCCCAAATTTAATGATAGGGGCCCTTTTCTTAAATATAAGGGCAGCTGTATATTTTCCTGTATTAAAACCCCTTTATTTTATAAATGAACTTTTTATACATTATTTTTTTTTATTATTATTTCTATCTACCAGTGTTGTTATTGGTCTGATCACAGAATAACCTATCCATATTCAGCTTTGTGAGGACCTTGCATTGACTTTATCCATTGGTGTGAACCACAGAGGTTCGTTCTTGGACCGTTTTATATTCAAGACCTAAAAAAAATGGACAGATTTAGTCACCTTAGGTGTCAGCTGATGAGTGTATTTCTCCAGGATATTTCAGAGAATGTGTACTTTCTGTAATGTACCAAGATACTGGTATATTTATTCTTTGTATTGTAGGTGCTGTCTGTTAAAGAAGACTCTTAAAGGAAATCTCATCTGAAAAAAGGTTTCTGTTTTAGAGCGAGCTTTTACAAGAATTAAGCTGTTGATTTTAAGCTGACAATACAGTATGTGGTTGAATAATTAGATCTTCATTTAGCCTATGATAAAATTTGACAGTTAGTGATTCTGCTTTTAAATAATTTAGTCAAATCCAAATGTATTTATACAGTATAAAATAATTTTTGCCTAAACCCAATATATACCACCTAAATTTGCAATTTATAAGCAATTCATACTTATAATTCAAACACTCTCACTATATATATATATATATATACAATGCAGGTTTCTAAAATAAATTGACTCAACGTACATAAAAATTGTTACAATCTGGTATTACACATTCCAGATTTATCAACCAAAAGGTAATGCTTTTCCTTTTTAAGAAATACATGTTTGCATGTCGCCCACAAAAGTAACCGTTCTTGAACCACAACTAACCATTTTTAATTCTATTTTCAGGGTAAGTGTTAAAATGTTCCATACTGTCATGGCCACGTGTGATTCCAAGTGTGAGAGTGACCCTGATGGCCAGCTGTTGTCCTACTCTATTATTGAAGTGCCTTTCAAGAGCTCATCTTCTTATCCACTCAAGGGGGAAATTACCAACATCTGTACACAGCATAACAATATGTTCGTTTTGTATCAGATTATACAGCCAATATTGCACAAGAATATTAATAAATGGTGAATTTATTAATGTCTGGTTTCATTTCATTTTGAAGTGTTTATATATTTAGATAACACTGTATTCCAGTTAGTTTTGCTGCATGTGGTTAGCGCAAGTTCCTTATCACTTGTCTGTATCAATAAAAAGCAGCCCAAAGCCCACAAAAATCAAAGAGCTACTGAATAAATGTTTTGGGTTACTGTGTAAGATGTTTTTTTCCCAAAACTAAAATTATTTTTCTGCGGTAACTGACAGCATGCCACAAATTTTGTTGATGGAGCTCAACTTGTATTGAATTTGGAAGATTAAATACAGTAACAGGCACACAGGTAATTACACACTGTCAATCTTAAAGCTTAAAACCCTTAAAAACAATTATATCATGTTTTCCTGCAAAGAGCTTTAGCAGGAACACTACAGGTCTTTTCACTACAAGTCTTCTGAGACTTTGGCATGGCTTTCTTTGAGGGTTTGCATCTCTTCAAGCTATTTGGACTACTGCATTTTTGTGACATGCTTGAATGAACAACAAGATCTTGAACAAGGGCATCAGTCGTCTTTAATTTTACCACACCAGAATGTGGTTTCTTAGGTAAAGCCGGTGGTTGCTGAAATCCAATCCACACCTTTCCAGCATTTGGCGAGGGGTGATTATGATGCGTAGACTTTGAATGAGAGCTTGAAGAAAGGGTGAGTTTTGTTACTATATCTAAAACTGAATTATTGCCTTTAGTCCTCAAGTGTTCTACCTGAGAACAAGGGCCTTCTACACGTCTCAGACGGTTGGCGCTTCGAACTAAAGCAGTTGCTGGACGAGATCTCACCGCTTTCCCTTGTTCTTTCTGTATAGTCGCAGTCTGAAGTTTCTCCAGTTTTATCATGCGTGCAGCCATAGCTGTGAGACAAGGGTCAGTTAGACACAAGTTGTGCTGGCTCTCCAAATCATCTGCTGTGGATTGGAATTGACTAAAGTCGAGATCTTTAAGTGGAAATGGAAGAACCTCAGGATACACTTGCTCTCCTCCAGTCACTGTAGGTTCTAGATCTCTATCAAATAAGTCCGGCCTCAGGTCCAATTCTACAGCAGTTTCCCATTTTAATATAGGTTTATTGTCTTTCTCTTGGTCAGAGAGGTCACTGTTTTCAGATTCGACTGATATGGATGGTTCATTATTGGATCTGCTACAAAGGGAATTACTGATTGTCTTGATCTCATCTGGTCGTTCGTTCCTTGGAGAAACAATGCGGCTGACCTGTATGGGGTGGATTTCCAGTTCTGGTCTGGTTTCTACATCAGGTTTATGTTGAGAAATGTGTTCTTGTGTGTCCCAGAGGATTGGAGGCTGAAGACCAAGCCTCTGCCATCTGTGAGACAGCATCCTTAACTGGGTTTTATGATGTTGCTTTGAGCTGAAAAAAATTTGTACAAAAATGTCAATTACAGGAGAAATATTTCTCTTGATGCCATTTAACCTCTTCAATAGATATCCCAGCATTGTGGCATGGAGTATCAGTTCCAGGTTGGCAAAGTGTGAGAAGTCTAGTGTTGCAGCATGATACAAAGCAACATTCAGTTCAACAAAAGGTTAAGATTCCTGGCAAACACAGCAAGTATCTGTGCCAAGTCCTCATCTACATTTCTAATATATTCATTTGACATTAAACACAAAGTGTAAAACATATAGGTAGGTTACAGAACACCTATTGCAAATAGTACTGCCACTGCCAGCGTAATTAGAATTGATATTTCAAAATGCTTTACACTTAGATGGCCCTGTCATACTGATGGCTATCATCTGGCTGGCAATGCCTAATGGGTCAGAAGTCAGTATCTACTTACACTTGGGATGATTTTGTTTGGCTGCAACAGGTGGTTGGTTCCTGTGCCGTACAGCCATTAGAAATGCTTTCCAAACATACCTGCAAAATAAAATGCATTTCAACTTTTTTATGATTTTCAATGAAATATACAATTTGCACACATATTACTTACAAACGTATACATGTTACTGAATATCACAAAATATAAAACATTGAAATTAACTTTTTGTTTTTTTACTTTCTTTTATTAGTTTATTAATTTTTGTTCAAAGAAATGCCACTTGGTTTGATACACTGTCATCTAATGCAATGACATTCAGACAAATACATGTATTACATCTTGGAGTTACTGTACATGCATAAATTAATTTAAAGTA